AAATGTTGTCGTGCATCCAGGCGTTCGGTACAAACAAATATTTTGCCCCCGACGATAGGAAGAGCGACGTCGGCGCGCTTGCCGGCACCTCGCGCAGACAGCGCCGCGCGATCGCAAACGAAACGATTTGAGAGACGAGAACCGCTCCGGCCAGGAGGAGCATGCGTTGAGGACTACCGATTTGAATGGTGCCCGCAGTGCACACGGTATCGGCGTCCACTTGACTCAGTTGACAGTGCAACTGGATGGACGAGACGGGTGCCACGGGTGCTGCCAGCGTCAACGCGCCCGAAAAGACCCAAACGACAAAGCCGTTGGGCGTGATGTAGTACGATGTGTATGCGCCGGTCACAATGAGAAAGATATCGTTGACGATCGTGATGAGCCACGTGACTTCGTTGGCGGCAAGCAGCGTCTTGTACCACGGATCGCGGACCGTGGCCAAGTAACTCATATAACCCGAGTGCTGCAACTGCAAGGTCGCTGTCGACAAGACGACAAGGGCCGTGACACTCCGGAGAAGTAAAAATGGCCTCCCGACCCAGACAATCCCGCCGACGCGGCCGAGCTCGAGCATGTTGAGGCCCTCAAATTGGCCTCGAATGACAAGAATGTACACAAACGCGAGCGACGCAATCGCCATCATGACGCCCGTGACATAGAGGACGCCCGAGTGGAGGTAGCGAGCAAAGTTATCGGGGACTTCCCACGCCTGCGTCGGCTGCGACAGAGGCATTTGGAGGTCGGTCACCAAGGCAAGGCGTTGCGCGTCGCCTTGGAACGAGATCACTTCACGATATCCAAACACCCAGTCGTAGAGGAACAGCCAGCCGAAAAACTAAAGTCTCGATCGGTCTCGTCGAGAAGATTTGTAATGCGCAGCTCGAGGGGTGCGGTCAAGGTCGTGCGGGCATAAATCATGAGCGAGATGTTCATGGCACGAATGCGCGTCGTCATGTCTGCGATGTTGACGATCACGTGCGGTGGGACCTCCATGTAGTCGCGAATGTACGTTCTCGTTGTTGGCAGGTACACGCGACATTGCGTGGCGAACGCTGGGTCCAGCGCGCACACGGCCGAGAGGTTGCTGGTCGTGGATGTGAGATTGGCAAACAGACTCCCGAGAACGTATTGCTGGCGCGTTGGCTGGAGCTTGGCAGAGACACCCGTCGCCACCAAACAGATGGCGTCGAACGATAGGAGACTCGTGAGACCCAAATTGGTTCGTTGGCCAGAATTGAACTCGGTGCAGAGCGGCGACCCGCCATAGGTGAAGACACCTATAGACAGCCACGCCTTTGGCGCAGGACGGGAGAGATCCAATGGCGTGATTGCGCGGTAGGCACTTTGAGCGCTGAGATTCCCAGCGAGCGGCGCACGGGTGAGCTCCAGCAGCAACGACATGAGCTGTTGTAACTCCAGTGGTGGTGGTACATAGATCATATCGATCGAGCCAAACGGTCCGAGATACGAAGAAATGAGTTGAAGCCCTCGCGATAGCGGGGACGGCAGCGTCCCATTCATCACGTAAACATCCGCGAGCGAGGTGTTGGTAAAGGCGTAGGTGGCACTGGACCGTAAAAGACTCAGACCGCCGATGCCAGATGTGTTCGATGCCACGGCCGAGAGGTCGTTGGCCAGCGACCAGTACATTTTGAATGTTGTCTGACTGTCGAGACGGTACGTGCTCGCCAGTGACGCCAGCGTCAGCGGGTATGCAATGCCAAATGCGTTGATGATCGAGTAGCTGTTGCGAACTCCAAGCTGTTTATAGTTTTGCCACTGCGCCTCAAATGATGAAAGACCAAACGACCGCCAGTGAACAGCTTCGTCACTTGTAGTCAACTGCGATGTCGTGCTCGAGACCATGTCCAGCCAGTTGCGACCTTCCGACGACAACTTGAGCTCGGCACCGATACCAATTTCAAAGCCCGTGCCCCAGCAGTTCTGAAAGCTACCGAAATCCACGTTGCGCAGAACGGTCTCCAAGTACACGGCGCCGTTGGTCGTCATGCTCGCGTCGCATCTCGCTTGGCGCTTGGCCGAGTTGGCCATCGTCCACGACCTCTTCAGGTCGAGATAGCAGTACGGAGAGAAGATCCAGGGTGCGTCACACCCATTCGATCGTCTCAGTCCTTCAATCGTCGCCTCGATCGAGCTCAGTAGCGTGTGCTGGAGGTAGGCGCCATAGTTGGCGGGCGACGCCACAAGAGCAGTTGATGACGCAAAGGATGCCATGGCGTTGATACTCGGTCGGTTGAGGGGTAGGTCAAGCATGGTGGTATTGCCAATGACGAGTTGTTCGTTGAGCCAGTTGGCGAGGAAGGCGTGGGCACCGGTGGTGTTGAAGGTGGCCCAATAGACATCGTTGGCCAAGTTGACTTTTGAGATGCTGAGGTACGAGACGGAGCTACTGATGGACGACACAATGTATACGATCCCCATAAGCTTGGTCGCTAGACCCATGACGAGGCGTCGCCGCCGTTGATTGATGTTCGACGTTCTCTTGTGCTGCAGGCGCGGCAGCGGGTTGATCTTAACGGAGCGGTCGACCAAGACGGGGCGCGGGAGCACTTTGAGAAAATCAATCGTCGACCGGTCGTCTTGCAACAAGAGCCACAGTTTGATGTCAAAGATGTACTTGACGTCGCGGAAGCGCAGTGCGAGCAAACCTGCAAGCACACACGCGACGTCATCGATGACGTACTGTGTGGGGGTCGTGCCGGGAGCGGTGGTCATGAATTCTTCGGCAATGCCACTCACGAGTAGGGAGGCTTCGGACGCTGTTGGGCCAAGGTAGCGCCATCGGCTCGAGAGTCGGAGCGTCATCCACACAAGGACGAGAACGCTTGCTTGGATACTGACCACCACAACCAGTCGGCTGGAACTACCGACGACCAGTGCCCCGCTCGCGCACGTCACTGCATAGTCCATGTCGACGCCGACGCAAACACGTTTCAAGCTTCCAGAGATTGTCACCGGACTCGCCACTTCGAGAAGAAAGAGAATTAGCCACGAGAGCAGACTCGCGGTGGAGCTGTACATTTTCGTGCCATCCCGAGTCAGTAGCACCAAGATATCATTGGCGACATAGGTGAGCCACGTTGCCTCGCCCGTGACCACGATGGCTTCAAACCAGCTCCAAGGCGTGGCAATAAACCGTGATGTCGCCGGAAAGGACGTTGAGAGCGAGGGTTTCGCCGAGCTCAGCAACAGCACTGCCGATATACCTCGTAAAAAAGCTAGTGGTCGACCGAGCCAGACAGCCCCCACGATCCGGTTGAAGAAGAAGAGGTTCAAACCGTTGAACTGAAACCGCGTCTTGACCGCATATACCAAGACAATCCCACCGACACTGACAAGAATCACCGAGGTGGCAACCACAAGGTAGTAGAGAATCTGCGTGGCAGACTGCAGCGGCTGCGTCCCTGTCGTGTAGAGCTGCGGGGTATAGACATTGGAGATGAGCGTCAGATTGCCGTTGTCGCCTTGAAATGAGACGACTTCGCGATTGCCGAGGACCCAATCAAAGAGAAAAATCCAACCGAAGAGTGCAAACGAGGGCTCGAGAAGCGCTTGTTTGAGGACGACCCACGAGCCATTGGCGGCGGTAGCGTACTGCATCAAGCCAATGTCCAGGCCAACTTCATCCGCACCCGATGCATTCCAGACCAGCGGTGAGGCGAGGGACTGCAAGAGCTGGTCGGCAGCTGTGATGGCAGCAACGCAAGCTGCTGTCGGTGAGGCCACGGCGCAAATGTCGGCGATAGTTCGACTTGAAGTGGCGGCTCGCGCCAACGCCATCGCGACCAAGCTTGACGTCACGACCAGAGGCTTCGGCTTGGAGCAGTCATCGTAAAAGTCAAACGACTGCTGGACAAATGCCGAGCTCGGCAAGCCCGTGCAAACGGGGTTACCACCAAAGTGGGCATGGTTGCGCCACGTGAGCGGTGTCAGCGCCAGCGTTGCGGGATATGATATCGCAGCTTGCTGGGCGTGCAGTCGAGCGCGTGTCGCCGCGAAAGCGTCGCGAAGGGATACCGGGGGACCCCGATAGAGGCAGTCCACGCTCTGAAACGGACCAATAACCCGTCGGAAGAGCGCTGATTGGTTGAAGAATTGACCCGAGACAAGCGTGACGCCGCCAAACACTTCAGGGTCGACGACAGGCAGCGTGGAGGAGACGTTGGCGTCAAAGAAGCGCGACGACCCGCGAATGAGACTGCGGTTGTTGAAGGCTGCAA